TATAACCTTATAAATATTTTAAAAAACGCCTGCTGTAATTAAATAAATTTATAATTGTAAATGTATAAAGCTTATTTTGGGATTACTATAAAAAAAAAATACTAAATTAAATTTTTAAGTACTCAATTAAATAACGAGAAGTTAATCAAGATAACTATTTATACAGAGTCACAATTTCACACTCACCTTTTATGCATCTAGTGATCAAAGGAGATTGAAGTCGATGGCCCTCAGATAAAATTTGATATCCTTTCTCTTAGTGCAACAAATTCATGTATAACTTAATGGAAAACTGGTTTTACAAAAAAGATCTCAGAATTGATCTCAAAACAAGTCTCACGTTTCAGGCTTTATCAGAGTCCTGCCTTGAGTCCCATAAATTATTAAAGTGTCCAAATTTACGTGTTCACTGGGTAGGATGACAGTAGCTGTGGTCATTGTGGATGTGTAATCTTTTACAGATAAGTTATAAGTGGTAAATCCAAGTGTGATAGCTAGCCAATAAAGTACAATGAGTTTTTAAAGCTGCTAACATTTTTTTCAAGACCATCCACAATCTCACAAGTCACCGTATGAGCGAGTTTTGGGAATCTGCATGTATATACTTATCTTGATTCTTGTATAGATCCAAACACAATACAGTAACTAATAACTTAGCTTTATTGGTAAAAAGGAATGTTGTCCTCTTTTAAGCATGTATCAATACTGCTTTCAGAAAGATAATGCTAGTAAAAAATTGCTGCATCAAGTTTGGTACCATACAAGGGTCCAGGTAAGTATGTATATGCAGATGCCCAAAAGTGGCTCATACGGTCATTTGTGAGGTCGTGAATGATCTTGAAAAAACATGTTGACAGCTTTAAAAACCATTTTTTCTTATTAGATGGCTACTAGAAGTTAATAGAGCACTTTGAAACCTATGTCAACTTGTCTGTAAAAGATTACACATCCACGGCAGCTGCGATTGACTATAAGTACTGCTGCATCTCTCCTCGATACTGAGAGAACAAATATCATAAATATTGGTACAATCCCTCTCTCGGCGACTTGACACACCTGTTGTCCTATTTTGAGATAGCTGCTCTCTCAACTTGGGAAACTGAGTCTCCCAACAAGCGGGAGAGCTAGTCTCTCCACGTTTGGTATAGCAGGAGTACCGCTAGGGAGAACCGCTCTCCGAACTTTTTCTCCGTGTACAAACTATTTCGTATGAACAAAGCCAAAAATTTACTCAAGAGCAATGCCAAGTATCTCTATTGGAATACAAATTTAGTGTTTCAAGCGGTATGATCAGTAAGTTGAGCAAGGTTGGCATAAGTAAATCAGTATTAGTCGATGCTTTTAAACAAAATCGCGCTGATGGGTTAAAATAACAAGTCAAAATATAGATGGCAAAGGTCTAGTAAGCAACCGTACAAAACATTGCAAAGTATTGTTGATATATTTTAAGTTTGACTCTTATTAAAGATGTTATATTATTTATACAACACAATCCTGGTATGAAAATGAATACATAGATGTATAATTTAGAAAGAAATTGTTTTTTTAATTTTATGTACAGTACTTAATAAAGTCGAAATTTTAAGGTCAAAAAATACATTTGTGTATTATACTTTTAGTTTTTTTAAACGCACTTCAGCATGACGCGCATTTCGCAGACGACGCTCTAACCCTTATTTTTCCTGTTGCGTCACCTTCAGATGGAAATATCTAAATGAAATCCACAGCAACCTATATCTTTCTTGCATTTAATGAACAGTGTATTATTTCAACTATAAGTCACTAGTTTTTTGATAATGCGTAAGGTGATTTGAGTAAGTTATGATGTAACTTCCAGTGGAAAAACGACCGGTCCCCATAAGAGTTGATGCACAAGACGCTAACTTAAAAAGAATTTTTCTAAGATTTTCTACATACTTATTTAGCATAGATTTCATTTTTATCCGTTTTCAAGGAACTTCAACAATTCATAATATTATATTTATACATTAAATACATTTAAGGTATTACATTATGGGCTTTGGGAAGATGAAATGAGCTAAAACAAAAAATCTATTCATTAAAATAACTTTCCAATCGAATTTGGTTTGATTAAAAAATGTTGTCTCGTCTAGGAATTGAACCTTGGTTCCTTTAAGTATTTACTGGGATATTCACTGTATGTAGTCATCTAAAATAGCGCCACATACACGGCAACAAGGAGGTAATACTGGATACCACGATTACATAGCCTGTCATGGACTGCAAACTTTGTTAATTGTTTTTTGTAGTTTTAATTTATTTTCGATACTTCAAGTATGGATTTTCAGTATTCAGAATTTCTATTATACAGAAAACAATTTTTTGTTAAATTATTTACTTATTTATTTATTTAACTACAAAATAATAGTTTTTATCTGTTGAAACCCAATACTTGACACTGAAAATCTTTTATAATACTTTAAGTATCAAAAATGCATTTAAACTAAAAAAACAATTAATAAAGTTTGCAGCCAATAAAAGGTTATGTAATCGTGTTATCCAGCATCGCCATTTTCAATTAATCCTATATTAGCTGTAGTAGTCATGCAGGACTTAATTGATGTACAAATAAGAACCTACCCCTTTTTTCAAATTTGTTTAAAATGTATGATGATGACTCCATAGCTTGAGTACAAATAGATAAAATAGATGAAGCCTTGAGTTATTAAACAGTGTTAATGAACGCATTAAATTAACAGTAACAAAACCTACCGATAACTTGATAAAAGTTTTAGATTCAATTATTTATTGAGATAACGCAGGTAAAGTCAGGATAAGTCGGGATAAAAAACCTCTTTATATCAATGTGTATCTTAATTTGTTTTTACATTCTCCCATTCCACAAAAAATACGTATGGTTTATTCACTAGTCGATAGAGTTATACAACTTTCCGATGAAACTTTTCATGCTCAAAACTTAAAAACGATTAACTTATTTTTATAAGTAAATAACTATGCTCTGCATTACATCCAGAAATATACTAGGATTCAATTAAATTTATTTAACATCAGAACCCTGTCGGTGCCTCTAATAAAATCGACGGCGAAGTTTTTGTTAAAAAAATTGGACTATCCTCTAAAAAGATGGATAAATTGTTTACGGTTTATAAAATGAAATGTAATAATTATTTTAAAAAATATGTAGGTCAGTCTCGTAGGGTCGCTGTAAGAATTAAGGAACACGAAAGAGATTGTAAAAAAAACAAATAAAACCTCAACTTTCTACACTTACGTGTTGAAAACTACATACACTTTCAATTTTAACAAAGAGCATATTAATATATTGGATTAGGTAAACTCCTTTTACAAAACGCTTACATCAAAATTAATTTACATCACCAAACTTAATATTGTTAATAGAATGCTAGTACTCAAATCTTAATTGCACTTTTAAATATTACAAGAAAATCAGGTAAGGGTCTCGGGACCTCCGGCAGAAGTAAAACTTCTAACTCAAATGTTATTAAACTCGGTATAACAGAAACTGAGAAAATTATGTTACACCTGATTTCAATAGGTCTTTAAGAACCCAATATTAAAATAGTAAAAATTTTATTATTACGTAATCGATCACGCACGTGCATGAAATACATATCCTTATACGCACTACTTGTGTTACATGTGATTCGCGCATTTTGGGTACTTCCTTGTTTGCTGTGATCTATGAATCACTAGATGTACTAATTATTGGTCATGTAATGCAGAACGAAACCGTACTGTCCCAAAAAAAGGTAATTACTATTCGTGCATTTGATATATCATGTATGAGAAAATATATATAGTAATTTTTAAACGAACTATTATAACTGAACAAAATTATAATACGTGAACACATTACTATGTTCATTGATTTTTTATTTCTCTCACAAAATCAGATATCGGGATGTTTTATCACTTTGTGGTTCTGTAGGGCTAGTGGCGATGACTACCACGGGTTTTGTCATTTTTTTACTACTCGAGCCTTGTAAAAATGTAAGATCATATCACGTCACAGGATTGCCCGTAAGTAATTAAAACTTAACATATGAAATACATACTGATTAATTACATATTTTCTTGAACATTGCAGCGATGCATCGCATTGAGCACATTCGTTAGATGGAGTGACCGTACCATAGAAAAAATGGCGTCGTTCACGTGTAACAGTAAACTGGTACATACTAGTGAGTTTTTAGGAAGTGAGCAGCAAAACTCGGGACAGTAGCTGATTGGCTGTCACGACCTATAAGATTAACACAGGATTCCACTCGTTGTTTGTTGCAAAGTACATTTATAGATATGTACGCCTTCTAGATTTTGCAACAAATGGCGGCGGTTCTGCTGCTTACTCCCTATAAGCTCACTAGTGTAAACGACTTGTCTATATATGGAATATGTATAGGCACACAAGTTGGAATTGAATATATAAGTATACTGTTACACGTAAACGACGCCATTTTCTCCAAGGCAGGATCACACCATCTGACGAATGTGCCTTAAGACGTTCATTATAGTTAGAGGGGAAATGTAGAGAGTGCAGTGAGGGGGGAGCGAGCATGCAGCAGCGCCGACCACTGTTATGAATGCATTTGTATACCAATATATAGGCGTCTGACACTTTTTTTTCATTTAATTGCAAAAATAACTTGTCGATCTCTGTGAAAATTGAATATAATACTAGTATTATGGTATTGCGACTTGCAAAAAAAATTTGGACGAATTCTACTAAGCATTTTCTGATGAATTCCATTTTTATGTGACTCTTCCATAAGGTTACGTACTAAACTTAAGTTTTTTCAACATTCAATACCTAAAAAATGGTGTTGTGAAACGGTCTCAAATTTTACATGTAACTTTTTAACATCATAACAAGCATCCTGTTACAATTTCAGCCAGATCATACAGAAAACGCTATGTTTGATGAACGTCCTTAATGCAGTATAGCCCCATATTTCATGAAAATGTATCTAAATAATACAGTCAGTAAAAAAGACTCTTACCTCAGAACCAGCTTGGGTAAACCTGAAAATGTTGTCAATGAAGAGCAGCACGTCCTGGCCTTCCTGATCGCGAAAGTATTCAGCAACTGTAAGACCTGTGAGAGCAACACGGGCGCGAGCGCCCGGGGGCTCGTTCATCTGCCCATACACAAGTGATACCTTCGACGTTTTGTCTTTAAGAGAAATAACACCAGACTCGATCATTTCCTGATATAGGTCATTGCCTTCACGTGTTCGTTCTCCAACACCAGCGAAGACCGAGTAGCCACCATGGGCTTTGGCAACATTGTTGATAAGCTCCATGATGAGTACTGTCTTACCGACTCCAGCACCACCAAACAGACCTGTCAACATGAGTGAGCTAACTAATAAACTAGGTTATCGGTAACGACTCTAGTTAGATATTTATCTTTTGAAAAAAGACTACTAAATATACAAGGGGATGAAAAAAAATAATAATAATAAAATAAAATAAAAAATAAAAGCAGAAAAAATTGGGGAAAAAAGTTATCTTTAGATTGGAGATCTTACCAATTTTTCCACCCTTGGCATAAGGTGCCAATAAATCAACGACTTTGATACCGGTCACGAGAATTTCCTGCTCTACGGACATATCAACAAACTCTGGTGCATCAGCATGAATAGCTGCAAGTTTGTCAGTTGGTATGGGTCCACGTTCGTCAATAGGTTCACCAATAACATTAATAATTCGGCCTAGAGTCTCGGCCCCCACGGGGATGCGAATAGGGTAGCCGCTATCCAAGACATTTTGTCCACGAACAAGACCTTCAGTACCTAAAAAAGTTCAATTATTTTTAGTTGTATAAAAATTATAAGCAGGTATAGAAACTTGGTTGAGTTAAACATTTTCTTTTGGCTCATATATGTTTAACACTTTTAACTCAAATATTTATACTCTAGGATGATTACTATAAATGTAGCATGTATGAATACCAAGCTTTTATTTTGGTCTCCGGTCATAACCTAATACAATAAGGTAATATTTAACCATACTTCAGTATAGTTAGTACAAACATAAGCGTTTATAATGACCACTTAAATTGCACCCCCCCCCTCCCCAATAAACTTAATTAGGGCATAAAATAAACTGAAAATGGTACAAAGTACGTAAAAATTAACGGAAAATCTTTTGGCACTATCTAAACTCATGTGAGATGAACAGTTTGAAAGATAAAAATAAAAAACCAATAAAAAATTAATTTTTGTTCAAAATAAGTTGCGTATTCAAATTTTCCGGTACTTTATAAGTGTTAATCCTCTACGAGGATACATTATGTGCAAATAATTTTATATAATTTTATGTCCAAAACAATAAATTCTTTGTTTTACCGGCTTACGCTTTCAAATCAGTAACTTGGCAATCCATGATCACGTTGACTAATTTCTGTCATGTAGACAGAATACAATTTATTTGCATAGCTCAATATGTCAGTTAACTTTTTAAGCAAGTTATTATGTCAGCAAAGTACTTACAAACCAATCACTAGAAATTTGAAAGTTGTATCATATTTGTAGTATAAAGATAAAATGACAGAAAAAAGTAATACTATGAAAGATGTTTTATCAGCAGTTCCCAGCTGATATCTTCGAGTAGCTCGTCTCAGACCCCACTTCAAAGTTTTCCGTTCGCGGATCTTCGATAACATGACCCTTAAGGAGAAACAGGGTCTTAAAGATTTGTTTTGTGCAGATTTTTCGCAGTACTCAGGTGATTTCTACTATAGGCTTAACTTTTAGCCAAACGTCAAATTTTACTAAACATTCACAAATAAGATTTTCAGTTGTGACCAGCTGATATCTTTCATAAGCTTTACTGAAGGACCAACGTCAAAGTTTCCCACGCGAGGATTTTTAGCAACCTATTTCTTTGCAATAAACACTGTCAGATAAAACAAGTTAGTGTACATTTTTAAGCAGTATCTAGTTAATATTTCGTATAAGACCGACTCATAGTCCAAAGTCAAAGTTTCCCGCGTGAGAATCTTTTTAATGGCTTGTTTCTTCACAAGATAAGATTTTCTGCAACGCCCAGCTTAAATCTCTGATAAGCACGACATGAGGCCTAATGTTTACATATCCCACACGGGGAACTTTGATAAGGGGTTACTTTGCGAAAGACACGGTCAGGCGGCTCCAGTTTGTGCAGAATTTTATCCGCAATCCAGCTGATATCCCTGATTAACTACTCTCAAGGCTCAACGTTAAGGTTTTCTTATTAGGAATCTTTAATAACGTGTTTCTTCGCAATACACGTGGTGAGGCATCTCTTTATTTTGCGAAATTTTAGCAGAATTACTACTATTATCTTGAAGAAGCTCGTTTCAAAGCCTATCATCAAAATTTCTCGTGCGGGAATCTTGGATAATGTTTTTTAAAGTAAAACTTTTTTAGGCGAGCCTTATATGGAGAGTTAACCCGTAAAAGAAGCAAGCGAGCGAGTGAGCAAACGCTGCCGTGCGCATATGTATATACTCATTTATATATGTCATACTAATGTGGGGAGAATCACGTCAACTGTCCCAGCGCCGTGGTGGACGGCCCGCGCGTGCGTCAAACACGACGTTTTCAACTCGTCGTTTCGGTGTAAAAACTTTGATAAAAAAATTATCTAAAAACATATTCTTACGTATTTTTTCCTTAGCTTTCCAGTGGTGGCATCAGTTTTTCGAAAATTTGCTCCCATAACCTTGAAAAATGCACTTGTTTGAAAAACACGTTTTATCTCCATGATCTTCAATTTTTGGAATTTTTTTGATAGTCTAGATCGAAAGATGAAACATTTTTACGTAGATATCGACAATAAAAAAAGAGGGGTTTTTTGTTTTTATAACGTATATAAACGACGAACGAGACGATGCGAGCCGCGGCGGAAGGAGAAATTTACATCATCTAACGATAAGCGAGATAGAATCACGTTGCTCACCCTCACCCTGAAATTTTGGAACCGAAGAGAGCTTATGAAAGAATTTGGTTGCACAGATAGAGAAGCTAGGCAAGCTTTAAATTTAGTTGCAGAACGTGGCATACTCTCATGGCCCGATAAAAAAAAAGGAAAAGTTTTATCTGCTGATGTTGAGGTCTGCGTCAAAATTTTTTACGAGCGTGACAGTGTCAGCCGCTTGATGCCTGGATTAAAAGATTATGTTTCTGTGAAACAGGATAATGGTCAACGTGTTTATGTACAAAAACGATTATTACTTGGAAATTTGAACGAACTATTCATTTTATTTAAAGAAGAGCATGAAAATGTCAAAGTGGGTCTCACGAAATTCGTACAGCTCAGACCTCCTCACTGTATCTTAGCCGGAAGTAGTGGCACGCATAACGTTTGCGTATGCGTGCATCACGAAAACGTAAAACTGATGCTAGATGCACTAAATTTAGAAGAATTAACGAAACCCAAGGCAACACCTCTTAAAAATTCCACGGACTGTTTGAACGCCATTGTTTGCGATAATCCTTCCGAAAATTGTTTTTTAGGAAAATGTTTAGATTGTCCCAATTTCGGAAAACTTCGAAGATTATTATTAGATTCGCTAGAAGCTGAAGGAATTTTAATATTTAATCAATATTAATCATTATTTATTTCTTTATTATAAAATTGTTGTATATATGAATAAATTTTATCAAAACATTTATTATTTATCCATTGTAAACCCTGGTTAACTAATTGTTGTTTACATCGCCACTACTACATTATATATTATATAGCCAAACAGACTCACCGTAGCAGACGACACACGGAGGACGCACTGCTGCCGCGCGTAGCCCGGCCGCCGCGGCTCGCATCGTCTCGTTCGTCGTTTAAATACGTTATAAAAACGAAAAACCCCTCTTTTTTTATTGTCGATATCTACGTAAAAATTTTTTCATCTTTTGATCTAGACTATCAAAAAAATTCCAAAAGTTGAAGATCATGTAGATAAAACGTGTTTTTTAAACATGTGCATTTTTCGAGGTTATGGGAGCAAATTTTCAAAAAACTGATGCCACCACTAGAAAGCTGAGGAAAAAATACGTAAGAATATGTTTTTAGATAATTTTTTTATCAAAGTTTTTACACCGAAACGACGAGTTGAAAACGTCGTCTTTGACGTCCGCGCAGGCCGTCCACTGCGGCGCTGGGACAGTTGACGTGATTCTCCCCATATATAAAGCAAAGTCGGTAAAACCGTTGTAATCGCTTACCACGAGAACTACTAAACCAATTTTGCTGAAATTTTGCACACCAATTCTTGACACTTCCTCGATTGTTTGAGTATGGTTTTTTTCTTGAAAAATTCAATAATAATAGCATTAAATAAGCTCAAACATTTGCAAAAATACGCCAGCTTTTCACTTTAGTTCAGTAGGATCCGCTAGGTGGCGTCGACATAAAATCGAAGCTACATGCAACAGAATTAAATATGTGTGGTTATAAAATGCCGGAGCGTCTCGATAACTTTTGCAGTCGTTTACTAGAAAGTCACCAAGCTGCATCGAAAATGTAGATGATAGTCGTACAGCTGGGTATCCCGGTTACCGATGACGCTTTTCTCCAATGGGCAAATAACCTAGGTCTACTTTCACTCTGAACCTCCAGGATTGACGAGACCAATAAAAAATTTATTCTCACCGATAACGTCTCCGGCGGGATACCAGGAGAAGTGTGTAGCCAAAGCATAACCTGCTCCAACACTTCAGAGTATTTTGGCCGTACCACAATCTGGCTTGGTGCCATCGGAGAATTTTTTACTACCAATGTAAGCCAGGGAAGATAGTCCTGAAGAGTACGGGCAGCCACAACGGCCAACTTCTTAGTGGTCGATCCAACGGCATACCTATAGAGAAAGTATTTTCCAGGCCCACTTTCCCTACTAACTATGTGTAGTTTATTATTCGGGGAACAACCTAAAGACGAGATATTCTTTGATCAGCGGCGCATTCCCCTTATATACGGTCTCCGTACACAGAGACTCCAACAATTAGAGTCAAGCTACCCGCAGCTGGCTCTTTCTCATTAAGAATAATAATAAGAAATAACTGGAAATTTCACCACTGGCCTTTTTCAGGGCCATTTTAAGTATTAACGTTCCCTACTTAACTATCCATCTCATCGGTTTTTTTCAGGGCCACCTATGTTTAAACTACCTTGCCAACAAATACAGTTTTACTACCATTTCCGGAAACATTATTCGTCGACTAAAAGGCTATGTAAATCCGGCCACTATTAAACCAAGTCAGTCATTCACTGGCAGACGTCACGAGCGGAGTCGTTCGTCGCAAGGCTGGGAACCACGATGACGACCCTATATTACCCTCTCGACTCTAAGCATTCAACCAGGAATCACCGATCCTCTCCAAGGTCTGCGCTGGGCGAACCTAACAGCTATGAAGAAAAAAAAACTTGAGCCAACGGGAAAAAAACTTGACCAATCTGTCCACCTTAGATCATCAAAACAACTGAGTCTGCAATAAAAAGGTGCTTCAGACACCAATGTCTTCGACGTTACACCATGAAACATTGGGAAAGAGCACTACAACTAGCTCCAGAGCTTCGGACTTTCTAATTTTTCTCCCGATCAGTCTGGGGCTTCAACAGCAGGCCAGAGAAGATCACCGTGAGGTATTCAGGCAGTCACAATTGCTGTAAGCTTCAGTCAAGAAAGAGTTTACTTAAGAAGCTCACCGGTCTTTTTCAGGGCCATCAGACGTCGAACTACCTTGCCAACAAGTATATAACAACCTAATCAAGTTAAAAAAAATAGGCTTTACAGCTCACAAAAGCCTTAACT